TGTGCGGGCACATGGAACTAAGGTTTTGGTGGGCTGAGCGTGCGCAGTATAGGACAACCTAAACTTTGTATCTTTTTCCTCATAGCTCTGGAAAATTCCGAGGGGAACCAGCGCAGGCGCTGTTTAACCCACCAGTGTATATTCATAGAGAATCCACTTGAAGAACCATGTTTACAGGTAAGTAACCTGTTCTTCATGAACCGCAATGAGCCATCCACTTATACAAATTGGCATTTTCCTAGTTGGTGCCCATCTGCTCCTTGACTGAACAGTTGGCAGTAGATTCTAACTTAACAAATATTTTTTTTTATTTTCACCTTCATTATATTAATCCACATGCTGTCAATGGGACAAGCAAGTTCATCTTCATGGCTAATATTTCAAACAAAAATGTGAAACAAGCTCAAGGTTTATAACGGTTTGTATTGCAGAAGATGTATTTAATCACCTTTAAGGTGAAAACTGGAATCCTTACATATGAGGGGAATCTTCAGTCAATGGTTTCTTGTTTCATTCCACCACGTGTACCCTCCTCTGTGACTTTTTTGTGCATTCCTACTTTCCCATGTGATTGAAGGCACTTGTCACACACTTACACTCTCATCATCATCTATGCAACACTGCCAAATAAGGAGAAAGAAGGGATGGTGGGTATGAGGTGGAACTCAGAGGTCCTGAGATGTTTGCTCTGTTTCTGTTTCTCTTGATAGAGAGGAAGAGGGAAGGTTTTATGTCTCAGTTCCCCATTAAATTGTACCACCGTGCTACGCACCACCATCGCGATCCCAAGCAGCACAATAATAGACTGCCTCGTCTCCAGCCTGGACATCAGTGATGGTCAAATGACCAGAATCCCCCGACTGGGAAGCTGTGAACCGATCAGGGATCCCTTCTCCTCTGTTGCAAACATCACAGTGGACATAGCGAGGGGCCCCTCCTGATTTCTGTTGATACCAATGGAATTTGTACCAGCTACCACTGCTTCTGGTGCAGGAGAGTTTCACGGTTTGTCCCAGAGATGCAGAGGCAGAGGCAGGCTGGGTCACTGTTCCCTGGGAACTGATACCTTGAGGAAATGAAAAAGAAGAGAAAAAACATGAATTTGATATCCTCTCCATGCCCTGAAGTATCACAGTAGCATTGCGCAATGATGGTGAAGATGCAACACAAATAGGTCTTGCACTGGAGAGTCCATCCAGCACATTCTTACCTGAGCAGTAGCTGAGCAGGGCAAAGAGGACGAGCCACTGGGCCATGGTGAGCTCTCTGGAGGAGTCTGACGTTGCCTCAGAAAGGGACCTGGGTGGGACCCCTTTCCTCCCTTCCCTTTAATGTTCCAGTTGCCACAGAAGAGGCAATTCATGCAAATGCCTTCTCTGCTCATTGGCCCTGCAAGAGCCCCTCTGTTTATTTTTGTTATCTCCATGGCAG